AAAGTCGAAAAAATATTCATAGAAACACCTTAGAAATATTTTTTAGTGAAGTAGGAAGAGGACTAAACGTTAAGAACGAAAATCCTAAAAATAGTCAACGTATTCAGAGTGAAAATAATGGCAAAAGAGAATGTCCTACGAACGCTTTTGGCAATTCAGTAAGGTTTGTGAATTCTTACTTAGAAAATGATTTGAAGTAAAAGAAAATGCATAGGCTTAGGAGCAAAACAAAGTATGTTCAAATACAGGCATCCAAATAGTTACAAAACTAACTCTACGATGTAGTGATATCTGTGCATCTTTATGATAGATCAGCAAGAGCCAGAAACAGAGCTAAAAACTATGTCAATGTTGAAGTCATGTTTGAAAATTGCCTTAATCAAATTATGAATTTTAATTATAGTTATTTCAAGGAATCTACAACAACTCTACATGAAAATATCTACTCTTTCTATTGGTGACAAATTCATAGGTATTGCTAATACTACTGAGATATATTGTCTATATGTTAAATGAAAGAAAATGCTAAGTTTTATTCTAGATATTAGTGAAAATAAAGATTTAATTATTTTCCATCTCAGTTCATGGAAACTCTAAATTATATCCAGACAGGCATCCTCCCCTGTTTTCTGTGTAAATAGCTCATAGGGGGTTCCTTTTGCCTCCTACTGAAAAGCTGTCATGTTTTGACAATGCTAACAATTGCTCTGGATTATTCTCTTAAGCCTTTAAAATATACCTCAAGGTAAACAGGTAAAATAAATATTGCAAATATACACTATGTGAAGACACATGAAAAAACTTCAGTACATAATGTTTCTTTTTTTAAAAAAATCAAAAGTATACTATAAAATAGGGTCATGATGAAATTTTCAGGTGAAATAATGGATTTGCCCCTTGGACATGGAAAACACATAGTGGTATGCAATTCTAAGAATAAAAAGGTACTAAAAGGGCTTCTTTCAGTTCTTTACTATTTTATTCAGTAAAATTGAAGAATTTGCTAGTTCCAGTCTTGAAGCATTGTTCACCATCTTGCAGTACATTTCCCAGGTTAATGATAATATGCTTATATAAAGAGAATTATTGAAAAAAAATCCTCTTTCAGCATTTACTATGTGCTATAAAATATCACATTTAATCATTTTTGAGATTTTGGGCCATAAATGGGGCTGTACTGCTAGGCATTTCATTTAGGACTTCATTTGCATATTTGACCACTAGTAAAATTATTTAAAACTACCTGGCATATATAAAATATATATAATAGGATTTGGAGGCTAAGAACTAAAATATTATTTAATGTATCACTTTAATAAGTAGATTCTCTTGCAAAAAGTCATACTTCTTAGTCAATGCAATATATGAATTCCTATAAGGAAATAATATCTGTTGGAATTTTAAATGCCTAATTTCTTAAAGTAGAAATAGGTTAAAGAGAACAATTATGCATTAAATAATAAAGATATATTTTTATATTCTAATTAGAGAGAAGAGAGGTCACCACCAACTGGAATTTTAAAAATAAGATCCTTTAATCTTTCTCCTAAAATATTTGATAGTGTAAGTGACAAATATTTTAATACAAAATATAGCTAACATAATTACTTATTGTATAGAATACTATCTGAATTAAATGTTGAAAGACAGAAATAAGAGCCACTGATAAATTTAGAAAATTAAAATTTTCAAAGCTTTCATAAACACTGTAATTGATCTTTTCACTTCTTATTTCATCCAAGGAATTTTTTTAGTTGCTGGTTAACTAAAACTATAGTATTACATATAGAACAGCATTACATAAAACAGATGGAGGCCGGGCATGGTGGCTGACACCTGTAATCCCAGCACTTTGGGAGGCTGAGGTCAGAAGTTCGAGACTAGCCTGGCCACTACAGTGAAACCCTGTCTCTACAAAAAATACAAAAAATTAGCCAGGCGTGGTGGCAGGCACCTGTTATCCCAGCTACTCAAGAGGCTGAGACAGGAGAATAGCTTGAACCTGGGAGACAGAGGTTGCAGTGAGCTGAGATCGCACCCTTGCACTCCAGCCTGGGCAACAAGAGCGAAACTCCACAAAACAAAACAAAACAAAACAAAACAAAACAAAACACACACACACACACAGATGGAGGTGATGTGTGAATTATACCATAGCAGTCACAACAAGCACCTGGTGTCTGAGATGAGAAAATAAAGATACAAAGAGAAAACAATGGCATATTGTCTTGAGAAGAACCGCATTAAGTCCAAAGGTATTTGAGAGAAGAAAGTAAAGATACAAAAAGAAAACAATTGCATATCATCTTGGGAAGAACTGTGTTAAGTCCGATGGTCTGCCTGTTATCCCTCCCTTGAAGGCAAAATAAACAGTCAGATGAAACGATGAAGCTAATATATTCCCATAATTTATACACACAATTTCATGAGTTTCCTCAAGGTTATATAGGTTACATAACTGTTATTCCTTTAAGATATGTTCTCTGGACTCAGAGCAAAGACTGCAGTGACTTTATTTTTCTACTTTCATAAGATCATATATAAGAAGAAAATACTTACTATTTAATATTCATAAAAATAAATAAGACACCTTCAAACATTTATAAACCATTTCTTAAATTTCATTTTATCCTTAAGAAACTGAAACCTTACCTAATTCTCCCATAAATTTATCTGTTATCCTAAGGTTCAAGGGTTAACCACATTGCTCAAGAAAAAGAGTACAAGAAACATCTTTTAAACCATGTGTGCAAGGAAAATGTATGGAAGGGGCAAATAGGGGATGAGATAGCCATGGGAACAAATGTCCATGTGGTTCAAATTACTTAATGTACCAAAACTCCCAATAATACTATCAATAATGAGCCCAAATAAAAGTAAATAAAATGTTCCTTAGTTTTTTCTCTTAAGAAAAGTGTATAACATCAATATGAATTCTAGTATATGAAACTTAAATTCAGAAAGAGAAAGAGAAATTCAGGAAGTTCATTTTATGTACTTTGTTTTAGCTTTATTTTATCCTATTATATCAAAAGTTCATTTTATTTTATTTTTGGCAACTTGAATACATAACAAAAATTTGATGTATAAAAAAGGAAGTTGGAATGTTAACACAGGAAAATTCATGAGATTCTTATTGCCATAATACAATCTGAGTCATGGCTGAGGGTAAGAACTTCAGGCATGCGTTTGTCCAGGAAGATTGTGAACTCATAAAGGACAAGAACTATGATTCCACTATTTATTTTATTATTGCAAATAGTCCTTCATCTACTATGTTTTTAAAATGTGTGAATTATATTTATACAGAGAATTGTATATGTAAAACCTTAATTAAAAAGATATTTCAACTGAAAAAAATAGTTATAGAAGCTCCAACTAATTATTACCTAATTATTAAGTATAAGGAGTAAAAGAGTAGAAAAACTAAGGAAGAAAATGAAATTCAAACCTGACTATATGACTTCTGTCTCTCATTTGAAAAATATATGGTACTAACCAAGGGATACTAAAATTTAAATTAAAGCAGAAGAAAATGAAAATGAACACTATTAATTTGTGAAATTTTTGAAAAGAAAATCTTACGTTTTAGTTTTAAGGTTTAATTCACAATTTCCTATTAATCACATATATGAATATATATGAAAATAAGTCATTCTCTTCTAAAACCATGAAAGATATTTAACAGCTGCCTAAATAGTCTTTTAACAAAATCTCTTGCATGAAAGCATAATTCTCACAACAGAAGTTGAACAAGTTTCTTCTAGGAACAAAAATAAAGAGAGAGAACACAAAAGTAATAAAGTATTATGAAGTCAGGGAATGTTTCGGACATCACTCATTTCTATCATTGGCTTTATTTAACATTTTATTACAAAAGATGTTTAATTGCTATAAATATTTTCCCACTGAGAAGAGACACTTACTGGATTTAAGTACTTTTTCCAAAATTTAATTTTAAAATTCATTTATTCTTGTCCTTTAGCCATTACAGATCCCAAGCATATTCCTGACGTCTGCAGGGACCACAAGAAGATTCTAACAGAGTACAAAGAACTCGGCTCTAATCCGAGCCATAGAAGTCATCTTCATTTCAATTAATTTACTTTGCCTTTATGAACTTAAGAATCTTTCATGGAGGTTGACATTTCACTCATCTGCAAAAGCTTGGAATGTGACAGGGTAAAGGGAGGAGAAGTAAATCAAAGGGGTTAGCAATTTTCCAGATGCAATGTATTTTTCTTCTCTTCTTTTCCACCAGAAATTTTAGAAAGCTTTCTGACATTTTAATTCTCTGTGCAAAAACCACAGTAGCAAAAAATGCTTAAGGCATAATACGTCAAGAAACAAACACACATGCATGTAAGCATGCACATACCCACAAAAATACATATAAATTCCAACTCACTGATTCTCTAACAGAAAATGTTACTTTCAGTGTAGTATTAATTAGCGGTTTATAGGCACAGTTTAATCAACACAATCTTAGTTTAAAAGCAACAGCAAGGTTTGTAAATTTTTTCTTGTTTGTGATGATTAAGTGAGTCTATGCTGGCTTCTTCACTGGAAAAATGACATTTATAAAGTCCGCTCCCATGATTATATTTTCAATCACACCAGAATACTTCAGTTCTCACCTTTAGCCATGTGGCTTCAGGAAACTATGCCCAAATAGCTCATGCAAATGTCGGTTATTTTAAAAGATCTCTTGTGTAACAGAGTGGAAATTCACTAAAACATCAAAAAGTGAAAACAAAAATAAAAATGAGGCTTGAAAATAAATTCTCAGCAACAGGGTTTATGCACACTGCTTTTTGGAGAGAGAAAGAGAGAGAGAGAGAGAGAGCAGTTAACTCCCCAAAACACTTTGGTTCAATATTTACCTGACAGCTTTGTCATCTTGACATTTTCCCCAGTGCATTTCCTTCTTTATCAGGTATTATTTTACAAGAGATTTCTTGTTATACAGAAGTAACATAAATCAATCTATAACAGAAGAATTTGTTTAACACATTTATTCTTTAATAAGTTGCATGATCATATTTCATTGATCTGTACAATAGAAAAAGAAAATCTTACGACTAAAACAGAGTTTGTGGAGACTGGCACATGGTAAACCTATTTAGTCTTTTCAGAGGTTCATTCTTAGATTTTAATGTTAAATAACAACTATTCATTTAAGCTGGTCTCACTGAATATCTTGACCTTTAGCAATTCCACACACAGCAGCTTATTGTGGTATCCTTTAAATATAAGAAATAAGAATGTTTAACTTTGCTATTAAAAGAAAAATAAAAGAGTACTGTATGTTACATGGCCCATGAAATATTGGCGGTGTGCTCCTTGGCTTTCATTCGAAGAACTGCGATACTGGAAGACCTCCTTTCAAACTCTGGCTTTGTTTCAAATGCATGTCCATTGGTTGCCCCAGTAAGAAGAGAGTCAGTGAAAAAATTGTTGAGGGGCACGTGACTGAACTGGTTCTGGTGGTTTGAAAACCCCGTGTAACTGGAATCTGTCCGAGGCGAGTGGGAATAAGGTGTCATACAGGAGGAAGTGTCACGTGGTAACATGCATGAAGTGACCACAGAACCACCACTTGCATTTCCTGCCCACAAATTGTTCTGAATCTGGAATATATAAAACAACAAATATTACATTTACATGTTCTCACTTTTGTTCTCTTACTTTTGTTAAGTTGTATTTACTAAATTTGGTTAACTATTCATTGTTTGCTCCTATTGGGTGGTCTGTAATTACATACAACAATGACTAAAAGATAATTATTTGAGAGATCCTTCTAGTTTGTTATACTGAAATAGAGCAACAAATCCCACATTCTTGGCCACATAACACACTCTCAAACATATCTATCTCTTATTAAAAAAAGTATTATTTTCATAGTCATGATTTTAAAAATGAATCTGGAAGATTGAATCAAAACTCATGACCAATTCATATGCTTAGAAAAGTAGTTTAAAATCTGGTTTTAAGTTTAAAGATAGTTTTTGTCTTTCTAAACAAAATGACATGAAGGCATTTTTTTTTTTAAATTCTAACTTGGACTCCTGGTGTGGCAGTTTTTGTTGGAAACCATTGCTGACAATAGACTGCTCTGTAAAGATATTTTTGATCAAACTCATTCTGGAACATGTTTTCCCACCCACTGCTTTTGGTATCCTATAGTCTAGAAGAAACAGCTCTGATAATCTGGGAAATTACAAAATATGTAAATATACATATTTTTAAAATTTCTTGTATGATTTATATATGATATAATGAATTCAAAACAGACATGTGACCTGTAAAACCAAGTTAGAATTCTAAAACATGGGACATTACCAAGTAATGGAATAATAACTGAGAAAGCTATGCAATTATTTAGAAGAAATATCAGATGAGTATAATGCAGTTGCTCTTATTTTATATAGTACTCCTATATAGTAAAAACTGCATTATCATTGACACCCAAGATATTCACATTTCACATTTCATACAATTAAATCTCTACAGGAAACAATTCAATGCAATATTAACAAGTACAAATTTATCTAAAGTTACTAGTATGTAAAAGAAATGTGATGTAGAACTTATATAACATGAATTTTAAGTGGGATGTATCTCAATCTTAATATACAAGCTATTTAAACAAACAAAAACAGGAACTGCATACGTTACTGGGAAGCTCAGAGAAAATCATGACAAATGGCAGGAGCTGGGGAAGGTAAAAAAGAAAATGTTGCGTGGGATATCAATACTGCGATGCAGCCCTTTGAAGAGGAAATAAAACTGAATGCTTTTAGCAACATTATTATAATATATTTGGACTAGAACATAGCAGCAATACACATGCTAATCACATCAGGCTTTCTTATCTTTTAAAATCATGATTGTAAGAGTTGAATTATCAATGAGTAGGACACATATGTTTTCCTATATTTATTTTTACATAGAGATTCCAGGCTCCTGCATATAATGTCTGGTGTAGTCTTACAATACCCATACTTGAGTTGTACCTTCTATGGCAACTAATTTTCAAATCATAGCAAAAAATACATTAATAAATCTTCTAGATCACACTGGTAAAAAAGGTACTCTGTCACTCAAGAAAGGACTGATTAACCAGGTTCAAAATATAAGAGAAAAACCTTAATAAGTAATTTCAACCTTTAGGTGGGGTTTCAGTGATTGGCAAGGTGCTTATATATCTGTGTTGTCTTAAAAAATAATTCTTTATATAAATATATGTATAAGCTGCTTTAAACTTGTTAAATATATACATATGTAGAAAGAAACAAAGAAAGAGATCTACATATCTATATCTAAATATATATATACACACACACATATAATTTGCATATTTTGTTAATCCTTAAATTGTCTCAGGCTATGTTCTAATTCTGGCTCATTCTACTATATGTGTTCCATTTTAGGCAAAACATAATGATTGATACCAGTGATTGCTGAGTTATGTATCTCAAATCAACAAGAGGGCTGTTAATGTCATTACTCTGTCAAACTACCTCTTCTAACTTCATCTGGGTGATTTTTCCTCTGACATTCAATCACACATTGTGCTACTCGGCAAAAACCACTGTCACATGTCTGACAAAAGAGCTTTCAGAAATGAAAGTGAACTTTGCTAGGGTACTTAAAAAAAAAAAAAAAAGGAAGACAAGATAATGAAAGAGAGATTATTTATGTTTTGTTTGTTAAAGAATTGCTTGATTTATAGAGTGTTATTCGAATTTTTTATTAAAATAATTCATTCATATTCCAAATGCACAGAAATATATTCATGAACTAGATGAAAAAGCTAAAATCAGAAAGGTAAAGGCAAGGAAAGTAACCTATAAATATAAATTAAGAAAATATTGCCTCTCTAACATAATTAACATAAATGTGCCTATAAATTGAAAAATATTCTGTAGAGTACATACAAAAATAAGCAAATTTTATTTTGATCAAAACTTCTTATCTGGACATGATCAAGCATGTTATATGCATTACTTTTGATGAAATAATTTCTAACACATAGACATGCTTTTCTGGACAGAACAGACTGGTAAAGTAAATATGATAGCAATATTTTAATTGGGCTTGTGAAGATACCCTAAATATTTTGAAGATTGTCATTTATTCCCATAGGTAGAGATACCCTCACACATTTTTACTGATCTATCTTGTTTTCAAAATGTCTATTTCTTCCTCCTCCCCAGCCCCACCGCTGATCTTTCCTTTTTAAAATTTCCAACATAACTTTATTTGACTTTAGAAACATTGTTGGTTTTCACATTGTAAGTTTGTTTGGATGCAAATCATAAAAGATAGTATCCTCAGTATATTGTGATTTTATTTTTCTGAAGCCTGCCCTCTGGGTGTTGAAACATTTGATGATGATGCTCAAGACCATGTTCATTATAGCTAATGGTTATCATTTAATTACCATGTGTCAGGCATTATGTTAAATACATTATGAACACTTTTAATTGTTTCAATACACTAGACAGTGTGTTCTTTTGCTATCCCCATTTTGAGGATGGTAATACTATAGAACAGAGCTGAAGAAGATCACCCAAGATTTCATAGTTCCAATGGTGGAGGTCGAATCTCAACCTAGGAAGCCTTAGAAATGCTGTAATAATGACTAGTTTTATGAGTTGAAATTATTTATTTACTCATTATCCCTACTTTGTGGAGGTTCATAGTCTACTCTCTGAAAGAAAAACCCACAATTATTTCTCACAACTGTTTTGTCATCCACAGGTCTAACAACAGTACATGGTAAATCCTTAACACAAATTTATTAAGTGCTTGAAAAATATGGACTGATCCATCTTGCAGGTATAATCAAAATTTTATGGATGATTTATGTTAATATATCAAAATTTTTGTTTCATAATATGAACTCCCAAATCACCATACTCAATAATTTTAGCAGTAATCATGAAAATTACATTCCTAGACCTTGCTAACTGCCTTTACCTGGGAAGTTCTTTATTCTTATTATTAAACACTGATTCTCCACTACAGATACATATCCTTTGAGACTCTGATTCATTTAGTATGGCTCAGGGGATCTGTATTAAAATAATAGTAATAAAATACACACGTGGAATTCTGAAAATCAACTGAAATTAGGAAAGACTACTGGAGTCCAACTTCTTTCCAAATGAAAAACTCTTTGTACACCAATTTTGTTTACTTCTTGCAATAAGAAGCTCACCTGTTAAAAAAAAAAAAATCCATTTCTTTGGAGAGTTCTGTAAAAGTAAGCTGTTCTATTCCTCTACCTCTACCTATGGCTTCCATTTATGTGCCCTATAATGATGCAGAATAATATCATCTTTCTTACATGTAAAAATCTTAAAATGTCATCAGGCATGATGATACAACCCCCAAGTCTTTTTACTCCAGGTAAACATCTCCAGTGATTTTAACCATTCCTCATATGCCTTAGTTTCTAGACACTGTATCATTCAGATCATGTGATTCTGGATATGTTTCAGGTTATCAACACCCTTTACCCTTATCAATACATAGCATCTACAGCAGAATATCATACACTGCATATCATCTCATTGCTGTAGGAAAAACCTGGCAGAACACATCTTTGATCTAGGCCATCTAGATTTGATTAAACAATAACATTATTTGAGCTAATGGCTGACTACACTGCTGTCAAGTTGGACTCACGCTGTTCCTCCATCCCTCCAATATATTCTCACATAGGCAGTAATTTTTTAACTATGCCTTGGAATCTATAAATCCATGTGCACATTATCTAAAAGCGCATATTACTTTTTTGTCAACTGGGAAGTCCATCAAAATTGCACTCTGATTCATTGAAGGAAAAATCATATTTGTGGTTCGATTTTGGAATTAAAATATATTAACTTTTTTCCTAAATAAGATAACTATTCTTGTTTTGAACTATTTCATGGATACTACAATGACAATACCTGGCAACATATAATTTTACGGTGTTTTTGTAGACCTCTGTTCAATATTCAAGGGCTTTACAACCAGAAACAAATAATTCCCATATCCTTCTTGCATGTCTGTTTTTTAAAAAAGAAGAAGAAAAAAAAAAGATTGACTGCCTTTACATTTTTTTCTTTGTTGTATTTAAAAGGAGTGGAGAATCTAAAAACATTCCATGTTTTAATGTGCTCCGAAACTTTAAAAAAAAACCTTTTAGGGGTGTGTTCAAAGCACTGTCCAGGGAACTCTATCCAGGGAACTTGGCCAACTGCCTCCCATTAGCATGAATGGAAGTTCAGTGGATTTACTGCACTTCACTTTGAGCATTTGCCCTTTCATTTTTTTCTAACCAAATAAACGTTAACACTTAATTATCCCATGATTTTGGAATTTTAGAGAAAAGTTTTATTTTTGTCATATTTATTCCAAACTGAAACTTAATTCATTTAATATTCATTTTTTCCAAGGAATTAAAAGCAGTAGAGAGGAAGGAGAAGGGAAAATCTATAAATATACATTAATATAAACATAAATACTAAGAGCTTTTTACTGTGGATATATATTTGTAATAAATTCAAGCACTACAGTAAGTTATGGATAGAAAATTATTTATTTCATTTACCTTAGAACCTTGATATGAATATAT